CCCTAATGCAGACATCTTCAGTCTTGCCAGAAGTCATATTCCAGACATGAGTGTTAGCACTAGGGGTGATCTAGTATGAAGGAAGCCACAGATATTCGATAAGAAGGCACCATGGGAAAAATATAGAGCACAATGTGAGCTCCTGGCAGAAATGGATGGATGGACAATTGGTACCTCTGTGCTGGACTTAACACAGGATTCGAATTCAAGAGCTCTAGCTATTGCATCCTGCATAGTAGATGGGTGTGCTTGCTTTACTTGTATCTTCGGTTGTGGATTGTCCAAGGCGTCTACAAACTGACCCCTCAGTAACAGCTTGAGGACATGGTGTGGTGCAGTTGGGTAGGCCTTGTGTACCACACTTTCCAAATCCTGTGCCAGGTCTTGCAGGCTCTCCCCTTTAGCATGGACTCTGGTCCTAAACCTATCCTTATAGACTTTGAACTGATTTTGAGTTCCATACCTGAGTTCTAGAGCAGCTACAGTGCTCTATATTTGTGTCTGTCGTCTGCTGACAACTGTCCAAGTATTTCAAGTGGTTGTCTCTTCAAGCTGGTTGCCAGGTACACTGCCTTCTGCTCCTCGGGTGGTACAATAATCAGGATTCAAGGCCAGAAAAGGGCAACTCTTAGAGAAGTTTAGGGACTTTGCTGGCACTGTAACAAACCTGGTCCCAAGAGAGCTCAATGCCGGCAACTTCAACACAGGAAAGATGTCACAGCAGAAAAGGCTGCTACCCAGAAAGGTTGTTGGAACTGTGGAGAGCTAGGACATATGAAAATACAGTGTAAGAAGAATACTACCAATAAGTCAGCTTCGGGAAACCAGTAGTGGTTGGTGCTGAGGGATGCACACCAACCCCCATTTTGAAAGTCCAAATAGCTAAGTGTAAAATAACAAGCACACATATTGTCTACGTGACAGGAAAGCTGGATGGCCAAAAGTGCAACTTCGTCATAGATTCTGCATCTCAGCAAAACCTTGTGAGTATCAAGGTGCTAGATCACAAAGGACTACTAGAAGCCATAGAGAAACTCTGTGGTGTGACAGGACTATTTCATGAGTGTGTATTCAGAGCATCAATATCAATTCCATCACGTCGGCCCCTGCCATCACAGTTTTTAAGGCTAAAGTTACATGAAAGAAATTTTCTGAACCATCGTTGACACTTACGAACGTTCAAAACATTTCCATAAACTTCTTTGCTATTTTTTGTGGCTACAGAGGCGTTGTTACCCTTCTTGTATTCAAACAGTATTACATGCCGAATGTGTGTGTCTTGTTGTGTGCCATCACTATAAGGGATTAGAGTAGACTAAACTTGATACATTATATAGGCTACATTAGCGTGACAATTAAGCGGTACGATTAACTATTATGCGTGATGTACGTTTCTTTTTGAGGGTGGTTAATAAAAGTGTTTCAAAACGCGACATTAATTTCTTGACGACCTAATACATATGTGATACAGGGTGAATTTGGTAATTTGATTTGTTAATAAGTGCATTATTAGCGATAGCTTTTAAGTTAACCTTGTAGCTCAGTTGGTAGAGAGTTTGCTTTGTTTACAAGAAGTTCCAATTTCAATCGTGCTCTTTTTAAAACTACAAATGAGATTGTCACAGAAAAACTGGTACACAACCACTGTAGTGATTTTCTTACGACCTTGAAACAAGGCCCGAGAACAGGTCTTGTTTTGAGAAGGCAATAATATGGTAGTTTGATTTGTTAACGAGTGTCTTACTAGCAATTGATAAGACTCAATCTTTTGTTTCAGTTAGCAAATCACTCCCTTGTATTTTCACGTGGGAAGCAAAAATCGGACTACCACATTTATACAATATTCTTAAACTTATGTAATAACCCAAATTCTATTGTACATAACACAGAAGTAATACATCTAAGATTTGGGTGTTGTAATCCACCCAACCCTGTTGTCTAATATTTGTCAGCAGCGGCCGAAAATTGATAATAATGCTATCTCGTATTTCTAGAAATTTGTTTCTCTTGTCAAAATTGCAAATAATTATCATTATAATTTCGGATTACCACAATTAAGAATATAATAATTTATTTTTCCGCCTTTAAAAGTTTAAAAAATATATATTCTATATATTCTTTCTTATTCTTTTGGAATGTAAGCCATAATTAAATATTATTTTAGGTAAATATCACAGTAAATATCACGCTGGTAAGTAGAAAAGTAATTTACTTTATTCGTAGAAAATACTGTAAATCAAAAAAGACTGCTTAATGTAACATTATTAGTACATTTCTTAAGTTTTTTTTTTTAAGTTCAATGACTTCGTTTATAGACACTGCCATCTCGTGGGGGGTGAAACATTTTTGCCATTTGGTGCATGCGCAATTATGTTGTTTGCTTCAATGGTGAGCCTATTGGTTAAGATCAGTAGTCAGTAGTGGAGTTAGATTATATTTGACGCGAATTCCTTTTAATTGATAATAAGTTATGATATCTTCTGAGAATGTTATAATGTACGAACAGCATGCACACAGTGTATAGTGATCAAGAATTGGAGCAAATATATATATATGGTTTATTTTGTAACAAACTAATATAGTACCCTAAGTTAGTCAAACTCAAAGTATCCGATCTTAGAAGTTAGACTACAAATCACAGTTTCGACCACACACGATCATACATATGCAGTGTCACTGAATGTCAGTGCCAAATATCTGTGCCCAACTCTCTTTTGAAATTAAATTTGGAGCCAGAATAATTCAGGTTTGGAAAATTTCAAGCTTGATTTTTTTCATTCTTTTTCTTAGAAGTTAGATGTAAAGTTACTTAGACTTGGGCATGCATAATTTTTTTTAGTAATGGCTGAGAAAGTAAAGGCTGCAGAGTATTTTAATTTAACTCTTCATTTAAGTCTCGAGTTAAAAAAAGTGTTTAATAGTCCAAGTTTGATAGATAGTTGTCAATTGTGAAATATTTGAAATAGGAATTCCATTTTAGTAAATTTTACTTTTAGTGTCTCAGGCTTAATGAAGTTGTTCTTTTGATTGTAGTAATACATAAACCTACTTTGAAGGCAAGAAGGTTTTTTTAAAAATAGATTGTTTGGTTAGTGTATTTTTCATAAATTATTCTGAAAGTATTTACAACAGTGATTTATTATTTTATATTTGGTTACACACATGCATACATATCCTATATAGGTTACTATCCATTAAAGTACTTTATACAAATTCATTGTCTCTCAAGTAATGTTTAGCAGTTACCTCTCTTGTTATTGACAAACTGTGTGTATTGATCTTAAATAATGCTGAAACATTTAATAATGTTTACTCAATGGCCTATATTTATTTCACCATTTCTTCTTAAATTATACTGAGGTATTAAAGTTTGTTTCAAATTAATTTCTCTGCTACAGTTACTGCTGTTAAAAAAGAAAGAGACTTATACCACAAACATATGATAAACAGATATTTTTAATGTTCAGGTGATTTTAAACTCTGATGGAGTAAAGAAAATCATCAGTAGAAGGGCATTCATACCAAAGATGTTGTGAACATTGAAAATTTTTTAAATAAATAGTCATGTATTTGTTTTGTTCCTTTATTGATTTTAATTTAATTGTACCATAGGAGTCTTTCTGTGATTTTGTAAGTATTATAAATTTGACGTTGTATTTCACTCAAATATCTCGCAACTAATTAATTTTGTTGTTTTTATAATGACACAGTTTGTTGACTGTTATTTCAGGCATATTCACACACAAACTTGCATTACAAAAATTGTCAAAGAGTAAATTTTAAGCATCCTGTCAGACTGCAAGATAAGTATCAATAGGTGACATATATAAGTATATTTGTATTCATTGCACTTTTACGTTAGACTGCTATTAAAATGTGTTGAAGTTTGTCAAAATATACAGATCTAACCACAGAAATGTTAATATACAGCCATAAAGATAAAGCTTTTTTAAAAGTTCTTTTAAACTTAAAAAATATCTTTGGAAATACTTGTGCTGTGAGTTTTCACCCAACCTTCAAAGGTTTTAATTAGTCATCCCTGTTTATGCACTTGTTAGTAGCAGAATGACTTTATAACATCCTTCCTTCAAGTTTGTATTAGTCATCCATGTTTTTGCACTTGTTAATGGCAGAATGACTTTATATCATCCTTGCTTGAAAAGTTTGAATTAGTCATCCATGTTTCTTTAAAATATAACATTTTTTATTAGCACAAAATGATATAAATAGTACTCTGAAATTTGGCTCTTAAAAAATCAGTTTGATGCTGCAGCATAACATGAAAATTATGATTTAAAAATTTTGCAATAGGAAAATGTTTTTTGTTAAATTTTAAAAACACATACACAACTTAACATGCATTCATAACAGTTTTACTAAGTAGGCCTTACATCTATACATGTAATTTTTTTTGTGTGTATTTCTCTTTCTTTTCTTCTTTATAGTTATATAAAATATTATTATGATATTATTTTGCTAGTAGAATTTGACATAATATATAAAATTGTGATATTACCAGCCATGGTTTAAAACTAAGGACTATTTAATTCAGATTGGAAAAGTTGTTTGCAAAACTTCCTAGGAAACAATATTTTCAACATTTCCACCTTTAGGGACATAAAACTTTAACCTATCAAATAGTTGTACCCTGGATAGAACTATGTAGAGTTGACCACAAGAAAAATATTGGTTTAGCTAAGTGGAACTGTGATGGACAGACACCTGTTTTACCAAATTTTTGTGTAAATTTAGGTCACTTATCCATAGTATACTGAACTTACTTAATAAATTATAAATGACTTCAAGTGCTACAGGTAATACAAGTTACACATGTTCTGTTTTTCTTAACTATCTGATATGTTATAGTATTAATTTTATTATTGCCAGGATTAACATAAAATGAAACTTACTGCTGAACTTACTTTCAATTACAACTGGGAGAGGGTTAAGTTTATAAACCCTTAGTGGATTGTGATTGAAATAGGCTGGTTTGAAGTTTTGTGCTAATGAGATACTTTCCAAGAGTGTGATTGAAATTTTAAAATATGACACTTCTCATTACAGTTTTACAGATTTTTTTAATTCTTAATTTTCACATAAAAGAGCTTTTTTATTTAAATTTTAGAGTTGCAAGTAAGTCTTTAATCCAGTTACTTATTATTCATATTGAATATGCATGAGAGCTTCTTGTGCTGTAATGATACTTAAACACCATTTTATAACACTGATTATATTTTAAATTTCATACTGTTGTCTCATAAACACAAATCACATATTTATTATTACATTCAACCAATCATAAATGTTCCTTAGGCGTATGTCGTGTTTCCTTTGTGCACTTTGAATGCTTAACAACAATTCCACCTTATCAGTAGTTAGTTATACTCTATGTAGGCATGTTAAATTACTAGTGAAATATATTACAAAAGAAAATTAACATGGATTCACTAAAGGAAAATCTGTTAAATTGTTTTTTAGGATGTTTTGTGTTATCTAATAATAGGTAAAGTGTAGACTTGGTAAACATAGACCTTCAAAATGCTTTGATAAGATGACAAAAAATTAGCTAAGAAAATCACATCAGTGTGGGCTGGGGAGAGACGAGTAAATTGGAGTATAGATCAGAGAAAGCAAAAAGATATTATTTATGGAGCTCAGTGAAACTGGACTTTTGTTACCAGTGGAGTACATTAGGGGTCAGTGTTTGTGCCTTTGCATTTTTGCATTTGTATTAATGATGTTGATAGTGGCATAATTAGCAAATTAGTACAGTTTAAGGGTTATAATAAACTGTTGGGTATTTCTAGCTGTATTGAGAATGTTGAAGTACAAATATTGGACAAATTTGGCAAATAATTTTTATTGTATTATCATAATTTGGATCTAACATTTAATATAGATGGAAACCTGCTCAACAGAGAATGGTTTTGGCACTTTAGTGAATAAGTTACTTAAGAAATTGAGGCAGTGAGTGTTCTATTATTAAAAAACCTGATAAATTTTTAGGGTATGTTTATTGACATATTGATTGCAAGTCAAAAGAGGTTATATCTCTACAAATCACTAGTTAGGCTTAACTTGGAAGACTGTATACGTTTTGATCTTTTTTTTTTTAACTAAAAAAGGATACTGACTTATTGGAAGAGATTCGAAGGAGGACTACTAGAATGATTCTGAAAATGGAAGGGTTTTCTTATTAGGATAGGTTAAGATTTCTAACATTTTGTAGAGAAAAGAAGGGTAAGAGGTGATCTTATTTACATTTACAAGATTATCCAGGGAATCACTAAGGTAAGGCACCTGATTTTTTTCTATGCTCTGAAGACAGTAGGACACAATTTTAAGATTTTGGAAAAACATACTTGGATTCAGTTTAGGCAGTTATATTTTTGTGGCAGGTGGCTTATGGAATGAGTTATCTTTGGCAGAAGTGGAGGTCAGTAATTTAAGAGAGCTTAGAAGGGAGAATAGGTAAATTTTTGAAAAATAAAATGTAGGTTTAGGTTTTGACTTTTTTTCAAGAGTATGCAAATCAACTCTGAAAGATCAAATGGTCCATTGCTATTCTTATGTACGACTAGCCCTGAATGAGAATTTTTCAACTTAAGAGGGAATTAGTTGGTAATTGTTAACTTAATAATCAACACTTTATTTAGCACAGTGTTCAAGTGGTAGAAAATATAAGATGGTTTCTTTAACAAGTAAGGACTTGCTCATTGATATCTTTGATGAAATTAGTTGCATTCATTATTAGCTTGAGGGAGCAGTCTATTAAATTTCATGGTTGTGGAGAGATAGTGTGAGTAACTTACTAACTTATTATATCCAGTATAGGTAATTTAGCAGTATTTCTCAGGATTGAGTTTGATACTCTCATGGTGGAACATCACAGATAGATACCCATTGTGTAGCTTTGTGTTCAATAACAAACAATGAAATGTTAACTATTGGGAGGAATGGAATGTTATATAAATAGTATTTAGAGCTTTTATTTAATAATGGTAGCTATATATCATCATAAGCATATCACAGGGGTGCAAAGGGGAGCAGTTGGTCTCCCCACCTTCTTTTTTTTTGTGGGATATAGTATACAAGCAACATTCACAATGGCATGTGGATAGGATAGTCTGTGGGGTAAATAGGGAGAAAAGAATGAGATTATGCTGCCCAGGGGCACAGGTGGAGGATATAACTGACAAAGCAGGAGATATAATAAAGGGGGCTAGTGGAGATGCAGTTTTTGTTGTGCACATGGAAGCTAATGATGTATGGAAAGGTAAGTCAGAGGAGCTGTTAATAAGTACAAGTACTTATTAATAGCTCCTCTGACTTACTGCCCAAAATTAATTGTGGGGATGAAGTTATATGTAGGTCACTAGGGCTAAATGCTAGGCATAGATTAATATGTAAGGATGAGCAAATTGGCTGGTTGGACTTGTGGAATCAATTCAGTGGAAGAAAGGAGCTTTTTGGAATGGATGGTTTACATTTAAGTAAGGTAGGGGCTGACTTGTTTGCTAGGGCTATTAACTCAGCTGTAAGGGAAGTTTTAAACTAGGACTAGACAGTGTTGAGGGCCAGGATAAACTAAATGCAAAAAGAACAAGAGACAGAAAAAAGTTTAGCATACCCTGTATTTCAAAGAAATTTCTGTCATCAAAATCATCTATGTTTAACCATGTTTTAGTTATTCCCATTATATCAAAATCCTCCATTGCTACCAGTGTTCTAAAGTCATATATTTTA